GAAGTGGTAGGGTAGGAGAGGAAACAGCTGTGGCCTATCCTAAGAAACTATACTCACATTTGTCTGGAGGCACTCAGAAAATCCATAAAAATCTCAATCAAGATAGCATCCTGGGCAAGAATCAAACCTGGGACCTTCTAAATAAAAAGCAGGAGCACAATCCATTAAATCATGATCTTTGGTATCAGTATATTATAAAATAGTCTTTAAGAGACTGAAGTTCAACATCCTGTCTTAGCAATTATGAAAAACGAAATAATACATCTAATCACTTCATTAGAACAAAATAAGGTATGGAGGTTGACCATCCTAACTTATATACAGGGTGTTTCACGACTTTAGGGCATAACTGCAGGAGGTGATTTCCTAGGTCTTTGTGATCAAAAAAGTTCATATAAACACGTGTCCGATTTTTGACGGTTACGGAGTTATGGCCGTTTTAAACTCAGAATAGAAGGTAACGATTACCGACAATAAACGCAACAAAATAAGAAACCAGCATAATACATGATACATTTAAAGTATGAATGTAAAGTTAACTTCGTGAAATTACCTTTAATTTGAATTTATTGGTGCTTAAAGCTGATTTTCGAAAATTCCACCACCGGCTGCAACGGAGGCTCCCGCTCAGTTGTGAACCGCGCCGGACATACGAACCCACGACGCCTTAGGTACAGCTCAAGTGTCGAGATAACGAGAACGATCTGTCTGTAGCTGGCTAAAAATAGTGACCTACCAGATGACAGACGCGGTTCGCACGAGGGCGTGTATGGGAATGAAAAAATGGTCATAACTCCATAACTGTCCAAAATCAGACACATGTTTATATGAAATTTTTTGATCACAAAGACCTAGGAAATCACCATTTACAGTTAAGCCCTAAAGTCGTGAAACACCCTGTATATATATATATATATATATATATATATATGTTTGAAAAACACATAATAAAAATAGGAGCTTGTTCTCAAATAATAATACTGATGACTGCAAATTGACTGATGCTGCTATGGAAGAACATCTGTGGATGACTGAATAAGGGACTCATACTCAAATTCTGGCATTAAATGCATTACATACTACAACTGATGACTGCACTAAGCTCCAGTTTTATAACTGCACACCATTCAGATTCTAGGAATCAAAGTCTTTTAAATGTTTTCCAGGTCGGCCCCACTTCTCTTTCCAAATGTCTCAACATTCAGGAATTTCATGCTAGCACCTTTGGGTTGCAGAGCGGAAATCCCAAGGTTTGATCGTGACAAGGGGAAATAACGCAAGACATTGGTGGATGGTAGGAGAGGCTGATTTGAGGAGGTACATGTGAGTAGAGATGGGTTCTACTGTGCAGGCTACCACTGTTGGAATTTGGATGGTGAGCAGTTCTATGCTGGATCCCAATATGACAATGAATTAAAATACATTAGTCTTAATTTGGTACACTGCATTTCATTCCATGCCTGAGTTACATTGTTTCATTTGAGCCAAAGTGACATATACATCTGAAACTTGTAGTTGGCTGCAAGGATGGTCATGTGAAGAGTACGACACACATCCTTGTCTTGCATACTTCAAGGAATACACAGTTGCATCACCTCACAAATTAAATTCCATATAATATATACAGATCTCTTCTATTTTGAGAAATTTGGAGTAAAATGGCTGGCTTACAAGTACTGAAATGCACCTTTATGCTGACAATGAGTGTTATGTAGAATCTTCACTGGAATCTATCTCAAATATGGGCCCCACAGTGCCCCTGTCACATTTACAGATAAATTCACACAGATGAGGATAAGGGAGTCTCGAGGAAATGTCTATAGTTTAAGAAATTCAAGTTTTACTCAGTAAACAAGACATGAAGGTAATAATTATATATGAATAATTATTTTTCAGACTGAAAGATAACACAGCTTGTGAAAGGTGCCTACAAGAAAACGAATCAGCCACACACATCTTGTGTGATTGTGAGGCCATAGCTTATTTAAGATTTTGTCACTTGGGTCAGTTTTTTATGGAACCAAGTGACTTTTATGATGCCCCCATAAGCAGGGCCCTACACTTACAATAGATCATTGAAGGTCACAGTGCAGGGGCCAGATTTTATGGCCCACACCTTACATACATTACGTTTCAGACTGAAATCAGTATTGTGACATATTGACCCCTACCTCCCCAGCGGCACGTAGAGGGATCGTAGCGCTAGCGTAATAGGCGAATCATCACCCCGCCACTCTCCACGCGGTGACGTCACGAGCGGAGCCGAAGTGAGCCGAGCGGAGCCAAAGATAGCCGAGCCCCCGCATCCTGGTAGCTATGCAACGCGCCACGCGCGGTGACGCCACGGTAACGCGGAACCGCTTCCTACTGTGACGTGGCCCGCAACAGGCACCACTGCGGATATATAATGGAACTGCACAGCAGCTACCAGTCAGTTATAAAGTAACAGTCGCCGAGTCGAGTTATACCGTGGCCATCGCCGAAGACATTTCCGAGTTGTAAAGTAACAGTTGCAGAGGAGAGTTATAAAGTGACAGCTGCCGAGTGTGTTATCAACAGTTCTCCAGTCAGCCGACTACTGTTGGAGTATAGCAGCCGTCGCGGAAAGAAGATCCGGACGTGTGTGTGATTGTGTAATTGGGAGCGTGTGATACAGTGATACATAGCTCCCCTACTGTAAACGTGTATACTACTGAACACAGAGTGAGCTGATTTGCACATGGGGTTATAAATCGTGAAACCCCGCAACAGTGTAAACAGATTAATGCGATTAGGGTTATAAAGTGTGAAACCCCGCAACTGTGTAATAATTAATTGTAGCCGTTACTTGTAGATTGTTGAATAAACCAATTAACCATTTCTACGGCGTCTTCAGTAACGCAACACGTTACATTGGTGTCAGAAGTGGGATTTGGACTTACACACGTGACCAACGGGATTAGAACTTACACACGTGACCAACGAGCTTCGAACTCAAGACACGTGACAATTTGGTGTCAGAATTTTTACGAGCTTAAACACGCCTCGAAGAATTAAACTAACGACTGTTTCGACTATTTCACTGCTACAAAATGGAAACAGAGCAACTGTTGGAACTCCTGCGGAAGGAATTGAGGGCCCAGAGAGAAGCTGCCGAGAAAAGGGCTGACGACAGGTGGAAAGCCTGGCGAGGAAAGATGGCCGCCATGCGAGAAAAGCTGGTCACAGAAACGGAAGCCACCAGAGAAGAAACAAGAGCTATCCAAGAAAGGATGGAAGACACTCGAACAGAAACTAGAGCCATCCAAGCACGGATGGAAGCCATGCGAAAAATAATGGGCACCAGACACATGGAGATGGTATACGCATTTAAACCCGAAAGAGACGTAAAGACGATTGCCTGCCAAGAGTTGGAGGCACCTCTATTAGAAGAAAAGCCGGCCCCAGTGGACAAGAAACCTGAGGCGGAACAACAAGAAGAGGTCCCTGTAGACGAGCCGAAGTAATGCCGGTCGGAGAACCGAAGAAGAAAAGGCGCAGGGACCGACATCGACGAGATATAAAGGATTCGACACGGGAAAACTGTGGACCATGGATGAAGTTGGCTGCCCCCTGCAGGAAGACATCCCGTCGCGCGACAGTGGCACGACGTTGGAGAATTGCCTTCAAGAAGGATATTCCCCTGGGAACCTTCGGATGCCAGCGGAAACAAGTGACCGCCACCGGAATAAAGATTACACGCTGTGTAGGACACAGGCGTATGGGACAAATCAAGAATAAGGTCGTGCCGGAAATCACCAAGAAACGGACGTTCGGGAAGAGACTGTGGAAAGGCCTGGAATGCAACACTGGAGTCAGGGACCAAGGCCTGAGACATCAACTACAACGCAGAAATGAAGTGAAGGACCTAGGCGGCGGACAGCCGCGATATGTGAAGGAAGCAGACCTGAGAAAAACTGCAAGACTGCAGATCGCCAAGCGAGTAGCCGGATTTTCTGTCTGCCTACGACACGGCAAGGATTGGACGTTGTGGAGGGGACGACCCCCTCCAAAACGGAAAAAGAGACTTCATGCAGAGGAGGAACCGGTAATGTAGAAGAACCGGCCTCCCCAGAGATAGTGAGTGTGCCATAGAATGGAAGTAATGGATGAATGGGACACAACTGGATCTTCTGGCAAGCTGAAAGGAAAACGCTCGAGACGAGCAGGTCTCAAGAGGGGAGCGGTTGTAACTGCCGGAGAACAATCACTGCAAGGAGTAGCCCAAATACCAGGAGACACAAAAAGAACAGCCTCCAAAGAAAAGTAACGGGATGCACCGTTAGGCTATTCGGGACGAACAGCCTTAAGGAGGGAGCAGTGTGACATATTGACCCCTACCTCCCCAGCGGCACGTAGCGGGAACGTAGCGCTCGCGTAATAGGCGAATCATCACCCCGCCACTCTCCACGCGGTGACGTCACGAGCGGAGCCGAAGTGAGCCGAGCGGAGCCAAAGATAGCCGAGCCCCCGCATCCTGGTAGCTACGCAACGTGCCACGGTAACGAGGAACCGCTTCCTACTGTGACGTGGCCCGCAACAGGCACCACTGTGGATATATAAGGGAACTGCACAGCAGCTACCAGTCAGTTATAAAGTAACAGTCGCCAAGTCGAGTTATACCGCGGCCATCGCCGAAGACATTTCCGAGTTGTAAAGTAACAGTCGCAGAGGAGAGTTATAAAGTGACAGTTGCCGAGCGTGTTATCAACAGTTCTCCAGTCAGCCGACTACTGTTGGAGTATAGCAGCCGTCACGGAAAGAAGATCCGGACGTGTGTGTGATTGTGTAATTGGGAGCGTGTGATACAGTGATACATAGCTCCCCTACTGTAAACGTGTATACTACTGAAGACAGAGTGAACTGATTTGCGCATAGGGTTATAAATCGTGAAACCCCGCAACAGTGTAAACAGATTAATGCAATTAGGGTTATAAAGTGTGAAAGCCCGCAACTGTGTAATAATTAATTGTAGCCGTTACTTGTAGATTGTTGAATAAACCAATTAACCATCTCTACGGCGTCTTCAGTAACGCAACACGTTACAGTATTAATAGGAGTCGACTTCACAATTTCGCTTCCTATCAAAGGTTGGTGTCATTTCCCAGGATTTTATCCAGGATACCATAATAAACCTGAAAAATAGTCCCCCTCAGAACGCACTTGGAGCAAGTAGCTTTATCCTCTCTTGGAAAACTGTGCACCTTTTGTGAATCCACAGATGCATGTAGAGCACTTTCTACTTGCATCTTTGTCATGAAATACCATAGAAAGCTACCGTACAGCAAAAAATCGCTGGGTAGGCAGAGAAGTGCCGCTAGGAGTCAAAATGTTAACAAATGAATTCAGAATCATGTCTACTTTATCACTAAAATGTTTTATGCAAAACATGGCAAGCTCATGCAGAATATATATCAGTTCTTATCTACCAACACCATATAAAGAAATCAGTGTCTTTTGTGCTTATACTTTCAACCACTTCTAAGAAGTAACTTTGTGTCCACTGTGTTCAACAACGATTTATTTGCATTTACTGCACTTCTGAAACTGAAAACTCTCTTCCTACCATAGCAGGCATCTGGTAAAAGTTTTGCATGTATATGTATGCATTCATTCACCCAAGACACATCACGTTTAGTGAAAATGCAATTTTAAGAGCTGTTATGCAACTGGATTCCTCTTCATTAATTCCAAATCTGATTCCATCATATCTTTCACCAACTCCTACAACAAAATACACAATTAATTAGCATCTGTTTGAAATGTGACAAATTAAAATTGTATCCATGATGGCCAATGGATATTACACTTCTTTTTACAACAGTTCCACAAGAATGGCAAAAACTTAACACATATTTGTACATACATCATAATCACTATATGCGTTATTCATAATATCAAGCTTCTGTTGCCCAGAACTGTTACAATTACTGATTCCAACAAACCTGAGCGCATAAAAAGAAAATTTGCAGACACTGCATATCAGGTGCCATCACTTTGATGCCTTGCTTTTAATAAATGACTTTGCTGGCACTAAATATTGACCCTCTGTCCTTGAAACAGTCTGCATTTGTGTTCCTACTCAAAACATATGTAACTTTACCAACTTCAGCTGCTCCTTCAGCCCAAAGTGTTTCTGCTGCAAATAACGTTTGTAAATATACCGATATTTTTAATAACTTATGTTTGAGTGTAAAATGCCTTAGCTGATTCATTTTTCCTTGTTTTCTTTTGCTGTCTTCTGTTCGTTTTGTCCTGTGTTGTCTTACTTCTATTGTTGCTTGTATTCTTGCTGAGTCTGTAATTGGCCATTGGCTGCTGAGCTCAGCAAGTACATAAATAAAGAACTGAGCTGACCTGAACTGAATAATCAGCATTATGCCTGTTCCTACAGGTTTTCATCAACTTCACCATCCTCCTCCTCTTCACTCTTGTTATTGTTGTTGTTGTTGTTGTTGTTAAACCAATTTTACACTTTAATTTTAACAAAATATAATATCACTAATACATCCGATGTATCTCACATTACAACTTATATAAACTTACATATATTTTGGTAAAACGATTACATTTTAAATCATGAAAAATGTTTGTTAAAGCAGCAGTTGGCACAGATGGAGGATAATGAAACAGATCTTAAAGAAGCAGGATGAGAAGGCATATGACAAACTAATTTGACTGGGCTCTCGTGAACATGGTAATGAACCACTGGGTTCCATAAAAAGCTGGGAATTTCTTCACAAACTAAGCAACTGTTAGCTTTTCAAGGACTGTTCTCCATTTACTTATCTAATGGTAAAAACACAGCAGTGAAACCTGAAGATGGAGTGACACAGACAAAGAAAGAATTGAAGTGACAGATATGAGAACTATATGACACTTAGCTGGATATACATGGTTAAACCAAAATTAAATATTAACATATATGAGAAATTTAAGTCTGTGATATGCTTGAGGTTATCACTATGTACAAGAAGGACTGTAAAGAACAAGTACATAGAACTGTTGAAGACAGGTGGCCACAGGGAGCATAGAAATGTAAGCCTACGGGGAGAGGGACAAGAGACAGGAAACACAGGCACTGGAAACGGGATTTCTTAGCTAGAACAAGACAGCGTTCCTGATCCATGTCATAAATAAAACAGATTCTCCATAATCAAGTTCAAATGCTTCCCAATGTGCAGCATCTTTACTCTATTCCACCAGTAGACACTCCGCTTCCTTACACTCATTTTTTTAACTTATGATACACTACATGATAGGAAAGTGCTAAAGAAGGGACAGCAAGAGAAGGAAAATAAGGAGAAGAAACACAGCAAAAGGATTCTTCATTATTATTAATCGGACGTTTACTGGTTTAGATTCTGATCAGATGTTCGATTCCAAAGTTAACATCCTTCGTACCCAGTTCTGACCAAATCTTTGTTGTACTTACAGCACAGGCTTATCTTTTGATGTTACTTTCAACATTATTCAGTAAACATGACTGTGACAATGAAGTGGGTTAGAGAATTCTGCTTCAAGAACATTAACAAACCCAACATAATTATCGATAGCTGATGCATAATACTTTTAGTAATATTCCATAATGTTTATTTTACTAAGGGCAGAGCATAGTTCAGCCCCACTGCTGCTTGTGATATCACATGACTATAAAAACAGCTGTAGATGCAAGGTTAAGCCATGAACAAAGAAATTACGATAAAACTAGTATATTAACATTTGTCATGAATCATGAACTGGAGAAGCATTCTGAAGTCTCTTCACAGCAAACATAAATTACATAAAAGTGAGCAAAACAAATAGGAATACATCATTATCACTGTTCACTGTGAATTCCCAAATACCCAGTGCAATTTATGTTAACTAGGATATTCAATGACCTGTTACTCCAGAAACAGAAGAAACAGTGTTCCCATAATTTCCTTACTTACTTACTCCTTGGCTTTACCGTCCTCCAAGAATCTTGGTCTATTTTATAACACATGCCCATCTTCTGCATCACTTGCTTTGATCTAGTAACTCAACCAGTAATTAAGTTCAGTTAAGTCCTATAAAAAGTTTGTGGCTTTAGTCTGCAAGTGAACTATAACAAGCGAGCGACTGCCACTTGTCGGCAAAGTTAGTGTCAAATTTCTGTGGCTAGAGGGTGTTGCGTGGTCGGCACAACAAATTCCCACAGCCATTAATCTCGGTTTTCTCGAGTGGAGTTAAGTCCCATAATCAGAAATAATCAGACAGAGTGGTACAAATGACAGTATAATCACAATTTAAACACCTGATCACAATAACATATATTTTATCTTCCTTCAATCACTTACCTTAAATGTTACCTTTGGTTTCCATCCAAATTTTTCACGAGCTTTAGTGGCATCTCCTAGAAGCAGATCCTAGTGAATGTAAAAAGCTTATATTAATATCCAGAAAACAATTAACAATTTCATAATAATAAATTGTGGAAATTCATGAAGTGTATTCAATTTGAATTCCTTCTGACTGGTATGAACCTGCCATCAAGTTATGAATAACACATCATAAAAATTATACATTCCATTTTGCTGTTTGTCTTATATCATCCACAACTTGAAATTAGAGAGTTAAGCTCCCTGTAAAGGTTGCTGCAATGTTGCTTGTTGAAAAGTAACATGGTATTTTTTTTTATTGCTAGTGGGGTGGGACTAAGTCCCTTGTACTGCAGCCACTTCTGGCCTATTGTACCAGCCCCAGATGATAGGTGAAGGTGATTGTGGAGCAAGTGGTGGAATGAAGATTGGCAGGGGAAACCGAAGTACTCGAAGAAAACCTGCCACAGCACCACTTTGTCCACCACAAATCCCACTTGACCAGACCCGGGATGGAACCCGGGCTGCCGCGGTGGGAAGCCAGCAACTAACCGCTTGAGCTATGGCACAGCCCAAACTTTACTTTACCATTCTATGTGAACATCTTCTACCTACATNAAATTGTATGTTCCAGTTTATTGGCTGATAACGTAATGCAGTTTGACAGACAATTATGCTGCAAAGCTTATGCAGGAGGTGACATGTTAAGAGGATAATGGGTGGCGTGCAGAGAAGGATGGATTGATTGGAACAATTGGTGGAATGAAGACTGGCAAGGGAAACCGAAGCACTCGGAGAAAACCTGCCACAGCGCCACTTTGTCCACCACAAATCCCACTTGACCAGACCCAGGATTGAACCCGGGCCACCGCTGTGGGAAGCCAGCAACTAACCGCTTGAGCCATGGCGCGGCCCTTAAAGTAGCATGGTAATCAACCTCTTCTGAATTACAGAGCAGCAAAACAGAGGTTTTCTGGTGACCATTTCCTCATGTTTCACAATGTACAGAGCCTATTATAACTACATATAAACAGTTAGGATGACCCAGTCAGTATACCAAGAAGCTACATGCTGAACAGCCAGGGTCCAATTCCTGGCAGAGGCAAGAGGTTTTCCTGTTTCCCTCTTCTCCACAGCAACCAGACTGGTGCTGGGGCCCACCCAGCCTCCTACGCAATGGGTATCAGGGGCTCTTTCCCAGGAGGTGAAGTGGCCACAGTGTGATGATGGCCACTCACCTCACGTCTTCATGGTGCGGTGCTTAATTAAGCACAGTGACAATGTTACCTTTACATTTACATACAAACAACTTTATGATGAAATAAAATCAAGGAGACGATAGCTATTCAAACAGAACATTTGTAACTACAATGTAAACACAAGGACAAATTAAATAATATAAACTGTCAGACATATCCAATGTTTCAATATCTAGGCTCTGAAACAAAGTTCCACCTCTCCATTTTGAGGGGCCAAACTATGTACCGATATCTTATACATCACTCGGCTGGTCACACCATTAAACGCCACAGAAGATGAAGAGAAAAGAACATAGGGCAGCAAAACCCCCACTTGTCTCTTTAGGGAGTAGTGAGTTAGAACACTAAATGCAGCAAAATCTTAAAAGGCAGTAATTTAACTCTTGAGATTATTGACTTTAGATCACTGAAAGTGAATACTAAATGAGGGAAGACATTAAATTGAGGAACATTATATGGTAGTTCCACTGTAATGTTCATTGCAAACTGCTTAGTTGATAAAAGAAAACAATATGTGAAACAAGTCATTAGTTGCAATACAACAATTTCTCCAGTTCCTATACAATATATGCGTGTACGGACGAACTGACGGACATACTGATAGACTGACAGGTAGATGCACACACACATACACACACACACACAGAATGTTAACTACTGCAGATTGAACCAATGTTGCAGTTTAGTGGTTAAAATTCCCGCTTTGTATTTGGAAATTCCAGGTTCAAATGTCTGTCTACAGACCAGCTACCCTAAATGAGGTTGTAATGTTTTCCTTATTCCTTCAAGGTAAATGCTGGGATAGTACCTCAAATTAGGTCATAATTGTTTCCTACAAATCATTTCCAATCATAATTCATTCCCATTTGACACTATAGAGCCTAAGCAACTGAAACTGTTAACTAAATAAACCAAGAACATACAAATAAAATATACTGTAGACAGACACAAATTAATCTGTGAGCCATGAGTGATCTACACATCACTGATTGAGAAACAATACCCAATCAACTAACTGTGCAACCAGAACAGGGCAGGACAGAACATTAGTAAGTATGAATCACTGCTTGAATACAACACCAGAGACCCAGAATCAACATCACACATCGACAGGAAATACTTACTTCAACAACACATTAAATTCAAACAGATGAGCCATTCAGGGAAATGTCAATAACTATAGATACTGGAAGTGTAGTTTCATGTTTACTTTATGTCACACAAAAAGCAAGACAAAAAAATCATACTAACCTCCCCAGTCCCATCCTCAAATTTCTGTTTGCACATCTGCTCCTCCCTTAAAGTGTCATCCTCATTTACACTGCCAATAAAACTGTACAGTGAAGTATCGATTATGTGTGCCAGCAGAATTTACACACTCAGATGTGATGACAGGAAGTAAATAAGGCTTTGGCAGTACTAATTAAGTGACTGGTTAACTGGCTAGCAAAGTCACTATCTAACTAACTAGCAAACATTCTAATTAACTACCTAACTATCCATCTGCATTTCTATTCCCAGCCAATCTTCCCAGAAATGACTTATTTCCTGTTGCTACTACCAACACCACTTGTATCTTTTGATAAAATAAAATCATAATTTAACTGTGTAAGATCATGGTAATGTGCCAGCAGAGCGTTTCATGTACTTGATGCAGGCATATGTATCTGATAAGACCACCTCTGTGATCTAGTTGTCAGAGTTCCTGGCTACAGATCCAGAGCTCCGGGTTCGATTTCTGGCGCTACCAGATTTTCTGAGAAGTAGTGGGTCTGGAACAGGGTCCACTCAGCCTCGTGAGGGTAATTGCGGACCTAATTGAATGGAAAAGTAGCGGCTTCGCTCTGGAAACTCGAACTTAACGGCCGTAGGGATCCATTGTGCTGACCACGCAACACCCTCTATCTGCCAAAGTTGGCACTAACAAGCGGCAGTCGCTCGGTTGGTACAGTTCACTTGCAGACTAAAACCACGGAGTTATGGATCTGATAACAAGAGTCTCTCTGTCGTCAGCTGTGATTTATTCATAAAAGCTTCATAAAACCCATTTTGTATTTTTTTAATACCGGATGCTATGTTAACACTATTAGACATGACTGAATTATGAGTACATGTGACCCAAGTACATATAGAAATACAAAGCTCCTACAGTTTTGCACTGGACTGATCTGACAGTATTATAAATATGATTCAGACAAAGATAGTCAAAATGCAGACAAACTGCCATCTTGCATGACTAGGTATCATATTTTGTAAATGCAAATGAATTCTTCACCCTTTCTTAAAAAAAATACTCATCATATGATTATGTTCATGGCATAAAGTATTTATTTAATTTATAACATTTATCTGGAATATTATCTGATCTAATAAATGCAGTAATAAATTAAATGAACATAAGGTAGCTAATAACAAGACTGTTAAGCAATGAAATCTTTCTGGGCAATCAGCAACATTTATCTCAAGGTTGTGTCCAACATCTCAAAGACTCTCTACGTCTCTAGAGGCAGCTTAGTTAAGGAGGGCATTGAGATCTGGATAATCCCCAGTAACTTTAACATAGATATGCAATTCCCTCTAAGCCATTCATGGAACCCAGCCACAAGCATAACTGATGACAGAACTTCAAAAGAAACTTGTCTGCAATGATCGGTGACAAGCAACATGAATTCTGATGACCAACCAATGCTCTGCAGTGGATCAGGACATCACTGACTGACTCCATCCACTGTACCCCATGTCCAGGTTCTGACAGATGGCAGTTTTATGTATAAATATAGCGTGTGAACACAATATTCATCACATCTATCCCTGATGACAAAGATAGTGATAGTCCCTGACACATCAGACACTCACTTCACAGTAACATGGCTCATCACCTAAGACAATAGATCACTGTAGGTCACAGTGCAAGGGCTGAAAATGCCCACCCCTTATACAAGAGTTGGATAAATAGTGGCAACACCACCGTAACATGAAAGATGTGCGTCAGGCGGCACTAGTGCTGTCTGTAGCTGATAGCAGAAGTTCAGGTGAAGTAGTGCAGTGAGTGGCTCTGGTTGTGTTTCATTGAGTTACATTGTGAATCGTCTTGAAGTGCAGGAGCCCAGTTCAAGCACCCTAAGAACATGTTTATGAAAGAAGAACGCTCCTGGATAAAAACTGAAGTCGCACGAGGTCGTAGTGCACAAAGCTGTTATCAGGGACTGCAAAAAGCATGTGGTGATGCTGCTTTGCCATACTGCACAGTGGCACGATGGGTGAAATTGTTCTTTGAAGGGAGGGATGCCATTCAGGCAGCCATCATTCAGGACAACCCCATGTTGACAACCACACAATTCAGCTTCTTGCTTCTTTGCTGACGTTGATCGTCGATGGGCTGCGTGGGAGTTAGCTGCTGAGGTAGGCATATGTCACAAAACCATGCTCCACATTCTGCATGATATTCTTGGATACCGCAAAATTGCAGCGCGTTTGGTACCCCATACAATGTCCGAGGTGCAACAATGGCAACGTGATGCAATTGCACAGGACTTGTTGGACCAGTACCAGAAGGAAGATGACAACTTCCTTGGAAGGACTATCACTCTGGACGAAACTTGGGCTCGCTCATATGAACCGCACTTCAAGCGACATTCAAATGAATGGAAGCATCCTGGCTCACCTTGTTCAAAGAAAGTGCGCCCTACACAGAGTAATGTGAAGGTGATGTTCACTGTGGCATATGACACTGATGGAGTGATACTGCAACACACTGTACCTCAACGACAGACAGTAAATGCTGACTACTACTGCAATTTCCTGCGTAATCATCTTCATCCAGCACTCAGGAGAAAGTGATGACGCTTGTTGGCAACAAAACACATCATCCTTCATGACAATGCAAGGGCTCATACTGCTTATGCTCTCAAGGATCTCCTTCGCCACTGGCAATGGAAGATACTGCAACATCCGCCATACTCACCCGATAGCGATTATGATCTCTTTTCCGAAGTAAAAGAACCACTGCAAGGGTTACGTTACAACACAAGAGAGGAGATTATTCGTGCTGTAGGGCAGTCACTGCTGAACATCAACAGAAGTGGATGCACTGATGGTGTATGACGCCTTCCACAAATTTGGCAGAAGGTGGTACACATGGGGGGCAATTATATTAAAGGAATGTGTGTTTACCTCACGTAATAAAGTCATTTCAGAACCACAGAGGTGTTGCCATTACTTTCTATCCAACCTATGTACATTTACTATATGCTGTCACTATGAAAACTTCAAATCAAATACAAACTGCTAAATTTTGCATAATAGACTCTTCACAAAACATCTGCTAAATTATTTTATCTGTAACTCTGAACAATTCCAATTTGATATACACTTAATGACAACATATAACAAATGATTTCAGTATTACACAGCAGTTCTAACTGAATGCCAATGCCCAGATTCACATTTTATTAGTAAGGTTTTGTACGGTCTCTTCCATTTAGAACCTGATATATGGTTGAGTAGAGATATGTCATAAATATTGACAGACATGACTGTTTATGTATTCTTCTGGGGGTTCCAAGAAACAAATTCCTTCTTTGCCAATAGCAAATCCATTAATACTTACAGCACTCTATTTTACGTAAAGATTACCTAATATGAAGGTGGCATACGGTAGCGCAGTTGGTTTAGACACTATGCTACAAGCCAGAAGGTCACAGGTTAGATTCCTTATGTCTTTGGACTTTTCAATTGACCAAATAATTCCAGCTGCACTATGGCCCTAGGGTTGACACAGCCTCTAAAAGAAATGAGTACCAGGAATCATCCTGGGGATAGAGGGTGGCTGGCACATAAGGCTGACATCCTCACTGCTGTCTGTGAGCTGTCTAGAAAAAATGTGGCAGCCTCAACATCTCACAACCCTATGGGGCTCCACGGCCTCTTACAGGGATAACTTTACATTTTCTTACCTAGTGCGGAAGCAGTTTCTGAATGTATGAAGTAATTGCTGAAGGGTTCTTAAATTACATATTTATAAAAATAAGAAAATTAATGTTAGCATGCTACTAATGAGTTATCCCTATTCAAACTCATGATACTCCAATATAAGAAGTTGAAAAACAAATACATAACACCACAATTATGTAAACAGAGCAAAAACTTACCACTTCAGTTGGACGGAAGTATCTAGGATTCACTTTCACTCTAACAATGCCTGTGTCCTTTTCTTGACCAACTTCAGTTTCACCTTTCCCTTTCCATACAATTTCTTTTCCTATGTAACTAAATGCAGCTTCAACAAATTCTCGCACACTGTGTGTCTCACCGGTTGCGATCACAAAATCGTCTGGCGAATCCTGCTGAAGTATAAGCCACATTGCCTGCAAAAACCATGTAATAGCTTCAGAATTTATAATATACAGCAGCTGCACTCATTGTAAAGGTAGGTGAAATCCCTGTGCTTAACTAAATAACACTATGCCATGAAGGCATATGTGGGAGTGCATGTATAGATTCAAGTTTTCTTGACCTCGGCACTTAGTGGGAGGTGAGGGGTCAGCTTCACACCCCAGGGAAAGAACCCCTGGCACCCATTGGAAAGGAGGCTGGGTGGACCCCAGAACCAGTCTGGATGACACAGAGAAGAGAAAATTCTTGACCCTACCAGGATTCAAACTCTGACCTCTCTGTAGTCCAGCCTGTAGCCAGTCACTATACCAACTGCACTGCTCTAAAACTGCCACCTCAGTGTTGGATTAAGATGAATTCTTGGTGTAGTGGCTTTAATAATGTTTCTATTACATTCATTTGACCACCACCAGGACTCCAGTTCACTCTTTATATTACAGATGTTCGTAATACAAAATAAGAGAAAAATTCCCTTCAGCATGTTTTCAATCTCCTATTTTGAGGTGTGTTAAATTATACAAAAAACAGTATGACAAGATTAAATTCTGTTGAGACCTCTCAATTTTTACTTAGTCTGGTTTATTTCAAGAACTTAAGGGCCAAAATTAGCATCAATATGTATCTTTCAGGCCCTCTTGATAAAGAGAACTTCTATTACATGTGTATCATCATTGTTACGTATTGCTCATTTTAATTCTCCTGATGAACAACTATACTCGTACTTAGGAGCTTAAATGAACTTTTCTGTATCTTTTATTGGAAATGACATATTTTGCTGAAATCTTATATACAGAAGAAGTTCTGTGAAACATTTCAATAAAATGTGATATACATGGTACATCATTTGTGTGAATACTGTGTCATTTATTTGCTTTAACAAGTTGAAGTACTTATTGGGCATAATGTCACAAAAATTACTTACTTCACCATTGCCACAGCCTTCCAAACTTGCTTATTCTATCTGTATGAGCCAGTGTTGTTTCAACTGAATTTATACAGAGAAATGTTCCTGTCCAAGAACCTACCCCAGCTGTGAATGAATCACAAATAAAGAAACAAACAGAGGTATGGTCTTGAATTGCAGAAATTCTTACCTTCTTACACTACTCTACAAACTACAGAATTCCAGGAAACTCTTATAATGCACAGTTTCCTTTAAATACTTCCTCTACTTGCATTCAGAGATGTCAATTCTCAAATCTGAACATATTTAAAACACTTTCGCTCATCAAATGTGACTACTGAAGCGAGATCTTGTTCATTTCTGTTTTATCACATCAGCTTCTGCTGATATATATTGTAACGTGTTTCATTACTGAAGACGCCGTAGAGATTGTTAATTGATTTATTCAACAACCTACAAGTAACGGCTACAATTAATTATCACACAGTTGCGGGGTTTCACAATTTATAACCTTATTCGCAAATCAGTTCACTCTGTCTTCAGTAGTCTACATGTTTACAGTATGGGAGCTGCGTATCACTGTATCACACACTACCAATTACACAATTACACACACGTCCGGTTCTTCTTTCCGCGACGGCTGTTATACTCCAACTGTAGTCTGCTGTCTGGAGAACTGTTGATAACACACTCGCTCGTAGGCTTGCTCGGAACTAACTCAGAACTGAACTCGGCGATGGCCACATTACAACTAACTCNTATATATATATATGTTACATTGTCAATGCTTCATAATTTGTAAGTTTTTAATAAATCTGTTAAAGGCTGTGTTTTTTTTTTTTTTTTAGAAAATACAATTTTAGACTCAACGTCTGATTCATCGGCAATGCATGTCATTTGTTCCTTGTTCCTAAAATGTCACCTTTTCTATGAAGTGATATCCACATTACAAACATTCATATAAATGAAAGTCATAATGAAACATGAGAAATATGATAAACATACAAATAACTTTACAACATGACCTTGTGTCCTAATAGATATTATTCTGTATCCATATGTGCCATAATGAAAAAATGCTGACACACTGATGCAATGATCAGTGTTCTTCCATGGACCAGATTCCCAACTACTAGTTTATGAACTGTTTAGAGGTTCATTAAATAAGGAACATCACAGTACCAACCTACTAACTCCATGGAGAACAGTCTGCCTTGGGATGATGAATCTATTCAATCTAGCTATCGGATATTCAAGAAATACCCCACATTTTATGGAATTCAAAAGTTAATTTAAAAGATCTAAAAGTTTCTGACAATGGCATATTAATATAATTATTGTGTTTCTGGACACTATCCATCATCCTGTTTTTTATTTTAAATACAAAACTTTTCAGAGGCTGCATTTTGTCTTCAGGTGAAACTACTCAGTTATCTTGTGTTGGTGTTGGTGTCCAGGATACAGAGACTATCTCTACTGATTAGTCCCAACTGAGTAGGATTCACCTGAAGACAGACAGAATGCTGCCTCTGAAATATTGTGCATTTTAAATACAAAACAGGATGACAGATAATGTCCAGAAACTCATGACAAAAGGCCTGCTTCTGAGCCAAATGAATAGTACAGAACTTTCACTCAAAGCTGTCTGTTCACAGGACACAATTTAAGATCTGTCACACTTCATAGTACATTATAACTTCTACGTCATGTAATTTAATACTTCTCATGCTGTTTACCTCTACAAAATCTTTTGCATGGCCCCAGTCCCTCCTGGAATCCAGGTTGCCAAGCTCAACATATTCCAACTGTCCTAATTTAATCTTTGCTACAGATCTTGTAATTTTTCTTGTTACAAAATTTTCACCTCTTCGTGGACTCTCATGGTTAAAAAGTATTCCATTACAGGCAAACATTTTGTATGCTTCCCGATAATTCACGACAATCCAGTATCCATACAATTTGGCACAAGCTGCAACAGAAATTCAGAATTTAATTAATATCTGCTGCATGGATTTCAACAGCTATGATATGTTAGCTGTTTCTGAGTAAATTGAAAGTCATAACAAGATGACATAAAAGCAATATTATGTGGCACACCAGAAGACGGCAGAGAAGTCCTTGATTCCAACCGGAAAGGAATATCTTGGAAACACAAAAAGATTAATTTTCTTATGATACTGTCATGTGAAATGATTTCAATGTGATTGAAATTGGACAGATGTACGATGGGGTACCCAAAAGAAACCGAACTAATTTTTTTGTGGGCAGAGCTTTTGTAGTACCGCTTTTTGCCGCTATGAGCGCATAGAGCTAACATTCCTGAGTTGATAAGCCGACTACCGTTGCTTCAGAAGGTAAGGACTAGTTTCGGCAGAGTTTATAGTGACAACTGTTTTGTGTGAATGTCGTTTTTGCAATGGCTGATTTTTGTGAACAGTGTGCAGCAGTGAAATTCTGCTTTTTGCTTGGAAAAAGTGGAACAGAAACTCTTGAAATGTTAAAAACGGCGTACAAGGACGATGCTATGGGGAAAACTCAAGTGTTTGAGTGGTTTTCCCGTTTCAAAAACGGTGAAATGTCAATTGATGACAAACCTCGTTCTGGTCGTCCTTCCACAGCCCGAACACATGAAAATGTTGAAAAAATTCGTGAAATCATCAAGGAAGAGCAACAACGGATTGCGCAACAGTTTGCAGCGGAAGCGGCCAGATTTGTGGCAGTCGGGTGACTGGTTTTTCCATCATGACAATGCCCCTGCTCACACAGCCGTCTGTACGACAATTCTTGACCAAAAATGGTATGACCCCTGTTCCTCACCCTCCATACTCACCCGACCTTACCCTGTGCGACTTTCTTTTGTTTCCTCGAATGAAAAGAGACATGAAAGGAAAGTTTTGCTGATGTTGCTGAGGTGAAGGAAAAAACGATGGAGGCGCTGTCAAGCTTCTCAAAAGATGAATTTAGACAATGTTTTGAAAAATGGAATAAAAGACTAGACAAGTGTATTAGTGTAAGTGGAGAGTACTTTGAAGGGGATTGAAGGTTTGGGCTTAAAATTTGAATAAATAAGTTAAAAAAAAAATAAGTTCGGTTTCTTTTGGGTACCCCCTTGTATGGTGGAATGAAATCAAGTGGATGAATAACGTAGGCTGGATATAATTTTGGCATACAGTAGGTCTGCAAAAGGCTCAGAAGTTAGCAGCCACACTGCTTTAGGATTTACCATTTTCTGGCTATAAATTAATGGGTGGACCTTTTTACTGCTTTTAATCTATTAGCTCTACATAAGAATGAACTTGCCCATGTACTTAAGCATATCCTGAAAATGTGTAGAGGCTGGGCTATAAGAGTACAGCCTGAGTGCAGCGGGGCGTGGGCAACTTTATGGCAGGGAGAGCAGCGGCTGCTGTGTCCTCAGTACACCTCTAGCGTTCAGCGTTTTCAGGTGTTTTCATAGCAAGAAATGTACGAGACATGTTTGTAAACTATTTCTGTCAAATGTCAGATGTAATTAAATAACATCCTCTGTAGCAATGAACAATGGACATGTTTACACATATTTTTTGTGAAAACATAAGAGCATAATGAAATAAAATTATAAATACTTTCCATCCCAAGTTTTACTGCAATTTCATTCCATGCTTTCGTCGCCCTGTTTTTGTATAATGGATGGCGAGAGAGCCTTATTTCAGGTTTTCCTTGAACTTCCGAAATTATTTCCTCAAAAGGCCTCTTCCAAACACTACTGAAACACAAACTGGTTTGACCTGCATGCTGCACGCACTTTTCCACGCTAGTACAGCATGCTGCCTGCTCCACTCAAAATGCTGTCCCAGGACATGCCAATATATTCAAACGGGTTTGTGATGCACGCTGCATGCCCTGCTGCATTCAGGCCATACCCTAAAGAGTAGCATCTCTGAATTTAATCTTCTTGTATGCCTTCATGGTGCTGTGCTTCATTAGTTAAGCACAAGAACAACTTTACCTTTTTTGTTCATCTTCCTTTTACATTTCCACTTTTATATGGGCCATCTAACAACCAATCCTCTGCATCTATCTGTCTTCACAATCCTCCTCCTCCTTAATTTCCTTCCATATTCTTCCTTCCTTCTGTGTGACATCTTTACTGATCTGTTATTTTCATCTTGATCTCATTCTTCATCCTGGGAATTTTCCTTCGATTTTCATGGTCAAAATCTTCTTCGTTCAGTCTTAAAACATGCATATTTCATCATATTGTTGCTTATTAATTTATCTTTCCATGTATCAATCTTTAAATTCTAATTATTTTTTTTCTTGTTCTCTCTTTCCTTTGTTTTCGATGTGTATTTCTTACAAATCTTATCTTGTTATGCACCCTATATGTTGAAGAAAGAGGCAAAGCACTGTGGCTCAAAGAGTATTACCTTCAGGAATGTAATGCTGTGTAGTCCAGCAGAAGTTCACAGACATTTCTGAGAACAATATTGCCTCCATCATCAGGGCAAAAGAGTAAGATGAGCAAGAAAGAAGCAAGAAACAGGTGGCAAGCAGAGCACTGGGAAACTACATCAAGAATGGAATGAATAATACCCAGGAAATATTTATCTTTAATATTAAAAGGTAAAGTAAAAAGTAAAGTAAAATAAAGCTATCCCTGTACCAGGCTGTGAAGGCCCGTAGGGTTGTGAGACGTTGAAGGTCCCACATTATCTAGACCAGGGGTCTCCAAACTTTTCGAAACGTGGGCCACATTAGGTAATTCAGCACTTTCAACGGGCCGGATAAAATGAGAAATTAATAACTCTAGGTATATGAGTTTTATTGAAAGCACAGAATTTCATAAACTAAATACAAAGTATGTGAGAATAAATTATCATATATTAATGATAACAGACAGCAGCAGCAAATGCTCTTATTTTTATCAGAAATTATAGTAAAACAATTAATGTGGATGATGGAACTCTNAATTTTCCTGAAGTTCAATAATTTCCATCTGAATTTGACTTGGGACATCTGCAGCATCACAGTCAAACGGATTTTGAAACAATCTAATTTCCTGAGCACTGGCATCCAAATCAGCAAATCGCTTCCAAAATTGTTTTTTCAAATCTAAAATGACTAAATTTGCAAACGAGGAAGGAAATTCTGCTTCACCCTTTTTATGCAACTCTGCACAGTATAGCATATGAACAAAGTTACAATTTTTCACTTGGCTTTCCAGAAGTATCAGCTTTGCTCTGAATGCCTTGATAAGTGCAAATAAATCACATACTAAGTTATTTTCACCCTGCAACTTTAAATTCAAATGGTTCATATGGTTCACCAGATCAGCAAAACTACTAATTTCCAAAGCCACTTGGTATCTGATAAAAGTGGTTCGTGATGGTTTTTTCGGTAAGAAATATATCAATTTCATTCCTGAGCTGAAAGAAGTGCGAAATAACCTTTCCACAGCTAAGCCATCGAACTGCAGTATAATATGTCAGGTCAATGAGCTCGGAATCACATTTACCAGTATTCACTGGAAAATTAGTTCACTTGGTGCATTTCTGCAGAATTATTTCGCGGGCCGCATAAAGTCACATTGTGGGGCCACATGCGGCCCGCGGTTTGAAGATCCTTTATCTAGACAATCGGCTCAAAGATGGCGGTAAGGTTGTCAGCCTTATGCGGCAGCCGCGCTTTTACTCCCCGGGAAAATTATTTAATTAATTCCTGGTACTCATTTCTGTTAGAGGCTGAGTAAACCCCAGGGCCTAGTGCAGCTGGAAGGATTAGGTCAAATGAAAAAAATCCAATGACCTCATCAGGACTTGAACCTGCGACCTTCCATATTTATTAATTAATAATGAAAATGAAACTATATATTAATTACCATATGGAGATCTAGGATAAAATGGAGTAGTTTCTGTCTGGGGAATTTCATGTACTTTTCCATACAGTTCTGAAGTAGACGCTTGATAAAACTTGACGGATTTCTCTAAGCCACATGTTCTGATAGCGTCCAGCAGTCTCAGTGTTCCTAGAGCATCCACTTCTGCTGTATATTCACTAAGTTCGAATGATACCTGTAACATGTGTAAATAATGTAATGTCAACAATTACAAGGCAATCTCAAAACAAATGTGAAAATAGGACACTAAGCATTAAATTACTCTACATAAGGTTGTCTATTACCAACACACTTTGATCGTACAATTCCAACACTGTGCACATTTAAGAACTTCATTATGACAAGAGTTATTTAACATGTCATTAATTTAATAATACTGAATACAGTAATTACTTTTGTTCCTATACTATTTTATGAGACTCCATATGGGACATTATTCTCCTTTCGTATCTGTTTATCTTATTACTTTCATCTTGCTATTACTTCTTTCTCTGTTGGTTTAATTACCAATTCCTTATTTTGGAGGTTTTCTTCCCTTGGAGTTGGATTTGTTGGGTACTGGGAGCTCTTTATTCAGAAGTAAGAGGTCAGTCTGGGAAGCTGATTACTCATCTCCATCTTAAGCACAGGTCTAGAATGTGTCAAAGATTTCCATCACGTCCCTAGCACATCTTCGTGATGTGGTGTTTAAACACAAGGGACACCTTTACTTTGTACAGGATAAGGAGAGAATCATACAATAACAATGATAGTGAAGAAAGCAGTCTTCTGGGATTTGGCACCGTGTATATGTGGTGTTAACCGACGTTTCGGAGTAACGTATCGCCTCCATCCTCCGAAACATTGGTTAACACCACATATACATGGTGCCAAATCCCAGAAGACTGCTTTCTTCATAGTCACCGCCGTGAAAGCCTCAAATCTTAAACAACAATACTGTTTTACCACGTTTACTTTTGTAACTGCCCAGCTTTTTGCTCATTGAAACAAGTGGTTACATACAAATGAATGAAGTCTGTTGATACTGAAATTTTAGAATATTTATTTTATTTAAATAACACATATCATAGTTTACAACCTATGTTATGTAATTATTGTGTTCACCCTTATCAGAAGTACTTTCCCTCAAAACCAATTGTAATGCCCTAGCGGCGCAGGGGGGGGGAATGGAGGTATCCCTCCCGCTGCTGCCGCCGC